TTGCAATGTGTTAAGTATTTTTAGGTTATTTCAAAATATTTTACTTTTTAATACATTTTCAATTCTTTTTTCATGAAAATTAGCATAAAACTAGAGGTATGCTGCTTTAAATAATTGACAAAAAATTTGCAAACTGAAAGTTTGTGGGTTTATTTCTTTCAGTGGGCATTTTCCTGTAGTACTGCAAAACTTGATACAAAAATAAAAATTTAATATTCGGATATTGTATTAACATATTTCTTGAAAAATAAAATGTTCATATAAATGTAGTTCTTCATGATTTAAAGTAGTAGTACGAGCATTTATGCGACGAAACACAATATTTTATTACGTGTAGAACAATTTATTATCTACTATATGAAGATAAGTTACACTCACACTTTTTACCAGTATCCGTAAAATTAATATTTATCTTGAGGTTTGTTGTAACGTATGGTACTATATTCTATAATTGGAATTTCAGACATTTCATTATAGACAAAACGTTACCGTACTAAAATTAAATCATACTTTTCAGGCACGCACTGGGTATGGGAAATTTTAGTTATGCTGGTTAAAGGCACTGCTGAGTACGAAACCAAAAAGAAGGTAGCAGCTTTTCTGGATTTCAGGGCACCGGAAACAATAAATGAACTTCCGTCCCCAAGAGTTTTAAACTGCCATTACCCTTTTAAACTTATACCGAGGCAAATGTTACAGAAAGGAACAAAAATTGTTCATGTGATGAGGAATCCAAAGGACGCCTTTGTTTCATTTTATCATCACATGCAATCAATGAATAAGGGAGCGTTAGCAAAGAGTTTCGAAGAGTTCCTCCCTTTGATGCTTGGGGACTATGGTTTTTGTAAGTTTAAACTACTAGTATACTAGTGTTGTGTAATATACGAGGGACAAATTGATCAATAAACATTGCAACGTTTAAAATTCATATATTCTTTCAAGATCCTGTTACTCAATTTTTTATGGTTTTATATCATAGATATGATGCTCAAATGAAGATTTATCAATATTGTAAGTTCCAAAAATCATTATTTGTAAAGATATTACCGAATTTACATTACATACTTACATAAAGGCAGGTAATAAGAAATTTATTTTCTATAAAGTCTTAATAAAAAATGAATGTATATACGAGTAGTTTGATGATTGATAGGTAGGTACTCGCACAACAAATTACAATACTATTGAATGACAATTGTTATTACAAATTTATATAAAATGTTCAGACAACCCTCATATAGATCACCATGGAATTAAATTATTTTTTAAATATTTATTAACTATAGACGAATATAAACTCCATTATGAGAGATAAGAACATAATAGACTTTTATTTGCTATGTTGCTTAAAAATATATACCTGGAACTGGAAAAAATAAGACTTGAACGCCGCCCTTCCTTATTGATCTTGTTTTTAATATTTCAGTAATCAAAAAAGTATCTTAAACCAGATTCGTATATTTTAGACATGTTTTATCCTTGGTTCAAGTATGTCAAAGAATGGGAAAGGTTTTCTAAACAACACCCAGAGCAGATTATTAATCTTTACTATGAAGATATTAAAGAGGTAATTTGTTTAACTTTTTCCCTTATATAAGCGTGTTTCGAAGGCTTTTTTGCCCCCCCCCCTTTTTGTGATGGCTCAAACAGTGAAAAATGCCCTATTTAGGCCCCAAACGGTAAGAAAATTTTGGACATGTGACAGGCTAAAAATGGCCTCATGTCGATCTTAGGGTAACTAGGAACCGACACTGAAAAGCCTTTTACTCTAACTCAATTCATTGAGAAGTTGCAGCACTTTGAAATCAGTTTTGATGGAAAAAGCAATGCAAAATAGGGATATTTCGAGACGTCCCCCCGTTGCCATGGTAACAGGAAATTTACGATTGATCATGCTTATACTTATACTTCAAGCATTTTTGGTTGCAAACTTTTGTGTCAATAATGTGGCATGCATATTTTTAGCGAGGAATAACTTATCTTTTTTTTTTTTAAATAATTAGCAATATTAAGGCAATTATACCCGTTCATCTATATATATATATATATATATATATATATATATATATATATATATATATATATATATATATATATATATATATATATATATATATATATATATACAAATTGTGATTGCGTGCAGATATATCCTTACACAGGGTCTTTCAAATAGATATAAAACACAATATGCTAAATTGAAGTTCAGTTGTGTTTATCTTCATCATTTTTTCTCCTCGATATACTTCTTTTCTTTTTACATAGTCTTAGGACTTTTTTTTATCTTGGCATGACTAACAGTAAAGGAAAAGAAGAGAAAAATAGCAACAAACAGCTTTCATTATTGTTCTTTTTTTGAGATTTGAAATAAATTTGATTATATAGTAGATACAAACTATATTAACATTGACACAAGGGCATTATTCACATGTTTCTTTAAATTGTTCCTTATTATTGACCAATCGAAACATCTTCCAAATTCCCTAACTCGAACAATGACTTTAAGTAGTTTTGTCACATATCAGTCAATGTAAATTACCAATCGTATATCAGTTATATTATGATCTAATAGTCAAAATAATTTTTAGAATACCAATTGACATATATGATATGTACATCAAATCCGAAATATTGTAAACAAGCATGTCATTTTAACTTTTGGTTTATAAGTACATTTACATACTTTATGTCTAAAGCAACTGCTGATCTTTACATACGAAACAAACAAAATAACATTTATTGTGGTTTTGATAAACTTTGGAAATTTTGCCGAGTAACATCGTATGTGTGCACATGTCCTTATGTTTATGATGAAAATAATTCACTTACATACAGCAGTACTCTCACATACGTTTTTTTTGTATGTAGTTTTCATTTGCATTTTACATATGATGACATATTTTAGAATTGAAGTATCAATAAATATTTTTCTTCTATGTGCTATTATTTTGTTTGCAGGCTTTTACTGATGATTATATTATTGAACTGAGAACCCTGTAATTTGAAACATAAAGTGCATACTTTTGAAAAAGAAGAAGGTATAAATAACATTTATAACAAAAACAAGTAAAAGAACATAAATGTCAATAATTGCCATTGAAAATAGGTTAATAAATATAAACTACTACAATCCTTTTGCAAAGTTTTACTATGGATTTCAATAGAATAAGAATAAGTTTGCAACCAAAAATGCTTGAAGTATAAGTCTGCAACCAAAATGTGCTTGGAGAAAAACCGACCAGAACAGTCACATGTCAAATTTCAAAATATCTACATGATCAGTTTATATCTTCAATAACTTCGTCAAAACAGAATCTAGGATGCTGAAACCTTAAACCGAGTGTGGTATATAAATTGCATTATTGAATAGACATACTAATGAACTTCAAAATAACAAAAAAAAAACCACTTGCCTGGCAAAAATTCGTTCACCCGTTTCAAAAAATCACGCCGTGTTTGCCATTTTGTCAAGTTTGCAACCAATACGCTCGCTTGAACCAAGTGTGCAACCACTTCACGTCATGCCCCTTGGTTACAGAGGTTATGGTCTAGTCAACATTTGTGCCAAGTTTCATCAGTATTGAAGCATTTTTCATAGTTTCATAGCAGTTTGAACTTGTTACAGGAGGCTTTTCAATGAAAACGACCATTTTTCGCAATTAGACTAAATATGCTCATGGGGTAAAAGGTTAAATGTTAAAGTTAGTCCATGAAATATGCAACACTTTCCTTCTTTTTTTAAGAAATGATAGGTGTATAACAGCAAGGGCACGTTAGGTTTATTAGGCTGTGCTTAAGATGCTTAGTTGCTTCATTGCTTTCAACTACACACCAGTAAATAGTTTAATATATGTGTGTCTACCAAATACTTCGACATACTTGATCAGTTATTCAATTGTTTAAGCTTTGAAAATGCATACTTTTTAAGTCTGTGCCAAGGGATTTCAAAATTACTCTCACTGTTATCTAGAAACTGTAGTTGTCGGTAACTAATTTAGACAGTCCTTGTCTTCTGCTTCTTTATATTATCACGGTATGTGTGTATGTGTGTGACAGAATTTCAATTTATAATGTTGTATACTCAACTCTAGATATGCATATATTTGCATTGTTATTCTGTTCTTTTACCCAATCTAAGATTGTATCGTGTTAAATTAAGGTAAATGTAACTTTGAAATTATTAGAAGTGGAATGGACCAGGCTAGTTTTAGTTGGTTTTCATAGAAACTGAATTAGCAGATTCTTTTTAATTCTTACAGGATCCTGTGAGAGAAATAAAAAAGATAAATGAGTTTCTTGGTACGGGAAGAGACGAGGTCTTAATACAAAAGATTGCTGAATCCTGTGACTTCAGAAACCTGAAAAAGGCTGATGCAGAAATTAAAGTACACGAACATATGTTACATAGTTCGGATATGCCAGTGATTTACAGAAAAGGTAAGATTAATATATAGACTGGTCATGTCGTTCATGATAAATATAAAGGGCTTTCATTACATTTGCTACATATCTCATCATAACGTTATTAAAGAAGAACCTAATTAGTGTGCTTGTTTATGCAGATAGGTTCTACATTGTTACAGTCAATATCACCGGTAATATTTGCTGCATAAAAATAGGCTTTTTAATTGAAGTATAGCTTCATTAATGATATGAAGAAAATAAATCCTATTTTCCAGGTGATGTTGGAGACTGGAAAAATCAATTCACAGTGGCACAGAATGATCATATGAACGAATGGCTGGAAGAAAACTTGCTGGATACCAATCTTAAATTCAGATACTCGCTGTGAAAGTTGAAACAAATTTAAGGGGAAAATACTTACATTTCTTTGTAGCCTGTATCACTATAATCAGATAACTTCAGATTATTATATGTACATGTGTTAAAAAAGGTGGACTATTCTTGAAACAATAAAAAAATTCGCCCCTCGGACATAGAAAAATAAATAATAAAAAACACATTAAATATATAATGTTATTGATGTTTATACTAAACGTTTTTCGTTTTTATAAACTATAGGAATGATTTTAATACCCATCTCTAACACTAGTAAATGTTTGATTTAATTTTAACTAATTTTGTCTCATACTTTGACTATGTGATATTTTTTCAAATTGGTTTATCTTGTATGTGCACAAGATGTAACATAGATTGAGTAACCAGCCTTTTTATTATAAAATCATAATAAGAACAAAACATGTGACATAAAGTAAAAATGTGTACTTCAATATATTCATTATCAATGTTTGTTTGTGCGTGTGTTTTCTTTTGTTTTCATTTTTTTGATAATTCTACTAAATTTAATTACATTGGTTGAAAAAGGTTTCCATACATAATTATATGGTTCACCCTCATGGTAGAAAATGTCTTTACAAACATTGAAGCACTTGTACAAGAATGTTATTTTAAACCTCCATGTCTTGATAAAATGAGCTGTTCTAAAGCGTTAATGGTATGGCCAATATATGAAAACTAAGCAATTTTAGTTTCGAATGATATATACATGTACTTGCAAATGTGCTTAGATAAAGTAAATGTTGACGCAATATCTTCTGAATATTAAATTGAATACGCTTAAGATAACTGTGCTATTCTAGCGTTTACGTTTTATTCAGTTCATGCTTCTAGCATAGACATTCCAGAAAGGAAAACACCAATCTTGTATAGATTTTACTTAAATAAAGTTTCTATATTAAGACTTTAAACTAAAAAGTATTGGTGACAAAATACGAATGTAGATGATTTAAAAATAAAACCTGAAAGAATGCCTTACATGGCAACATTGAAAACGTTGCACACTCGACCAATTAACGATAGTGAAATATAAATCAGAAGGTACCGGGTAACTCCCTTTTAGCAACGGGTGAGGCAGTGCAGAAATTGTAACATGAGAAATTTATTAATTTTTCTGGTATGCAACGAGGCTAACAAGTTAGGAAATATTTGTCTTTAAAACCTAAGCAAGTAGTACTTGCAGAACTTACTTGAATTTCTTTAGAACATAAAAATAGAGAAAACACAATTTCTTAGCAACTTTAAAACATCACTATAATTTCAAAAAACTATTATCCCTGGATAACTGACAGACAGGCTAGATGATATTGATAAACAGTGATCTACCAACGAAAAAACAACTTGTTACCCTTTCCTTCTGTAGCGCCAATATATGTCCAAACGTCGAAAAATATCCAAACGACGATAAATGTCCAAAAATTGACGATAAATGTCTCAATCGCCGATAAATGTCCAAAACTCCTTTAACGATAAATGTCCAAAAATTAACGAAAAATGTCGCAACAAATTAGGTGCTCATAAATGTCCAAATCGGTTAACGATAAATGTCTAACGATAAACTTTTCATATGTTAATTTGTAATTTATTGTATTGGATACTGTAACAGTCTATCCAACTAACCCGTGATTTTACCCTCTAGTTTACCTCCGACGTAAAATGTATCATGCATGATTGTGCATGGCCAGTTGCAGATCCGGATGGGGCGCGGGGGCATGTGCCTTCTTAACTCACCGAAGCAATACGTTTTAGCATTGTTAGTGTTCTTTAATATTTTTGTGCCCCATATAGCGTTGCCATTGTCCGTCCGATTGTCTAAATGTCCGTCCCGAAAGTTTGTGAACGGTATAGGGGCGTGGACAGAGTTGCATATTCCTTTACTGTCAAGTGGTCAAAAGTTAAGAAAAATATGCAACTCTATCTGGCAAACAAAGCAGTTAACCTGTATAAACCATGTGAGCTAATCAAGGGGTTAACTGCTTTGACAGTTAAAATCTAACCTACTGATTCAACAGCGAACAATGCAGACCTTGACAGGATGACGCATTTGCTTGTCGGGGGATATGGTCGTTATAAGCATATACGCAACACGTGTTAAATGGGTTTTGTGACTTTTCTCTGAAGTGCTGCAAAGACGGCCTTTCTCATGCTACATTGATTTAAGACATTTGTATTTGATTATTACTCATTCGCGCGTGACGGACTGAACGCCACTGCGGGACCACCGCCTTATAAATACAGAGTTTTGAAAGGCTACTTACATGTATCCCTCCAGTGTCGACCCAGATCAGTTTGCACACAAATGCGTCACCAGATTAGGGTATTCGCTATTAAACACCAGTAATTGGTAGTTAAGGTTTTGTATGTCCCTACAGTGTGGCACTTTCAAGATCAACCTACATGGTTATACATGAATATAATGCATATATAATCAAGAAAATGTTCAACTTAATAAGGGGAAGTAACTGCTATATTACCATTTTACAGCTTCTGATTGGTTATAATTATGTCGTGGGAACAAGATTATTATTTCGTGGGAACAAGATATTATCTCGTGGGAGCAAGATAATTATTTCGTTGGAACAAGATAATATCTCGTGGGAACAAGATAATATCTTGTGGGAACAAGATAATATCTCGTGTGAACAAGATAAATAAAGACACCCATGTGTCACATCTGTGCCACCGTAATAGACACTTGACGTAATAGTATGTTTTCTTGCTGTGCTGGTTGGATACAAACATGTACATTTAAAAATTACTTATATGTCAAATATTAACTTAACAATATTATATAAATAACACATGCATTATGCTAACTGGTTACTAAAGCATTATCGTTTTTATCAATACAGAGTTATGTAAGAGTTATGTACCCCAGGGTGATATAAGAAATATTCCCCGGGAAATATATTCTAGGAGGGTGATATTCGATCAGAACACATTGTAGGCCTATGGGAGTTTTACATTGAAGGATATATTGAGGTATAATAATATATAAAATAACATATATTATTGCTGTCGGGGTGATAGAGGATATTGTCAACCCGCGAAGTTGTATATTACCCCGAGGCGCAGCCGAGGGTAATATGCCAGTTCAAGGGTTGGCAATATCCGACAGCCATATGTTATTTATTTTATTATACCGAAAAAAACCTTAGGTTCCAAAACATTCATAAGAGAAAATACAGATCAACACTTCAAAATTACAGCGATTTTTTTCTGTAAACACAAAAATGTGTTGATAAAAACAAGACAAACAGACAGACAGACATATCGTTATTTCTTCATTAGAAAATAAATAACAACAAAAAAATCAAATTATTATAATTATTATTAATGGATGCAAAATTACAATTATTTTTAATCATCTATCTATAAAATTTTCATATGTAGTAATTTTTATACACGTGAACATGTACAAGCTTGTAACGGTTTCGCACGAACTTTTCGCTTTCCACGTGAGATTCATTGCTAAAAAAAGATTTTTTTATTAACTATTTAAATTGTATTAGTATGTTTATCTTTGCATTATGTTAACTGGTTACTAAGGCATTATCGCTATGAATACAGAGTTATGTAAGAGTTATGTACCCCAGGGTGATAAAAGAAATATTCCCCGGGGAATATATTCTAGGAGGGTGATATTCGATCAGAACACATTGTAGCCCTAAGGGAGTTTTACATTGAAGGATATATTGAGGTATAATAATATAAATGTTTAAATGACACCATCATATAGCAATTATAATGTTACTATTCGAATACTGTGATATATTTATTTTAATCTGTTGACAAAAACTTTTAACATTTCTTCTCAATTCGACAAACGTTATTTTGAAATAATCACAATTTGTCAATGAATATTTTCATCTTTAAACTGTTTTTGTACCCCCACGTTAGTGGCGGGCATTTAGATTTACCCTTGTCCGTCCGTCCGTCTGTCCGTCCGTCCTTCCGTCCGTCCTTCCGTCCGTCCGTCCGTCCGTTCACTTTTGTGTCGCATGTAACTCAAAAAGTATTTGACCTAGAGTCATGAAACTTTACAGGAATGTTGATCAGCATGTGTAGTTGTGCACCTGGGTATTTTCATCTGGATATTTTTAGTATTTTCAGAGTTATTGCCCTTGACTTAGTAAAATTTTGCAATTTTCAACTTGTGTCGCATGTAACTCAAAAAGTTTTTGACCTAGAGTCATGAAACTTTACAGGAATGTTGATCAGCATGTGTAGTTGTGCACCTGGGTATTTTCGTCTGGATATATTAAGTATTTTCAGAGTTATTGCCCTTGACTTAGTAAAATTTTGCAATTTTCAGCCTTGTGTCGCATGTAACTAAAAAAATATTTGACCTAGAGTCATGAAACTTTACAGGAATGTTGATCAGCATGTGTAGTTGTGCACCTGGGTATTTTCGTGTGGATATTTTTAGTATTTTCAGAGTAATTGCCCTTGACTTAGTAAAATTTTGCAATTTTCAACTTGTGTCGCACGTAACTCGAAAAGAATTTTACCTAGAGTCATGAAACTTTACAGGAATGTTGATCAGCATATGTAGTTGTGCACCTGGGTATTTTCATGTGGATATTTTTAGTATTTTCAGAGTTATTGCCCTTGACTTAGTAAAATTTGGCAATTTTCAACATGTGTCGCACGTAACTCAAAAAGTATTTGACCTAGAGTCATGTAACTTTACAGAAATATTGATCAGCATGTGCAGTTGTGCACCAGGTATTTTCGTCTGGATTTATTTAGTATTTTTAGAGTTATTGCCCTTCACTTAGAAAATTTTTGCAATTTTCAACTTGGATTTGACATAGTCATTAAACCTTATTGGCAGGTTGCTCAGCATATTTTAGATTTGCACCTGGGGTTTCGCTTGTGGATTTATCAAATATTTGTAGAGTTATTTCCCTTGACTTAGTAAAATGATTGACAGAACAGCGGCGCGGTGGGGGCACCCGTGTCCTATGGACACATTTCTAGTTACACATATATTAACTGGTTTACACTTGGTTATGTCTTGGTTGCAACTTCGGTAATGTACTGATGCCATTTCTTACGGTCTTCTGTACCATATATCTGCAATCTCGTACCAACAAAGGGCATCAGTACATAACCGAAGGTGCAACCAAGCATCGGCCCATCTAGATTCTCTTATAATATTGCGGATTTCTAATATTATGCCACTGAACCGACCAAAATTCAGCAAAAGTCGTCTCACGCTTACAACATTCGGCACATCCTGCATTATATCAGGTGAAATGTAAATTCTAGGTAGGTAAATGTCACATAACTGCACAACACTACTAAGATGACATCTGCTTAAGACGTATCTCATTGCCGGATTTTCGTTTTTAAACAGTATCGCACTATCTTAACTTGTATAAGTAGTGGTAGATTTGTAAATATGAACGAACTCGGTGCAATCGGTCTTCGTCGACGTTGCATATTTTCGACAAGTGAGCGCAGAGAAATAACATCGTTAGTCAAGTCATTGGCAGTAACGCTAACACTATTATTGGCAGTATCGATATCACTTGGTAAGTTCTCCGGTGTCATTGTTATCCAAATTATTGTCATTTGCAGTATCGATATCACTTGATAAGTTCTCCGTGTCATTGTTATCCAAATTGTCATTTGCAGTATCGATATCACTTGGTAAGTTCTCCGTGTCATTGTTATCCAAATTATCATTGGCAGTATCGATATCACTTGGTAAGTTATCTGTGTCATTGTTATCCAAATTGTCATTTGCAGTATCGATATCAATTGGTAAGTTCTCCGTGTCATTGTTATCCAAATTGTCATTTGCAGTATCGATATCACTTGGTAAGTTCTCCGTGTCATTGTTATCTAAATTATCATTGGCAGTATCGATATCACTTGGTAAGTTCTCCGTGTCATTGTTATCCAAATTGTCATTTGCAGTATCGATATCAATTGGTAAGTTCTCCGTGTCATTGTTATCCAAATTGCCATTTGCAGTATCGATATCACTTGGTAAGTTCTCCGTGTCATTGTTATCCAAATTATCATTGGCAGTATCGATATCACTTGGTAAGTTATCTGTGTCATTGTTGCTATCATGATCACTCTTAGTTTCAACAAAATATATCTGCTCTGATTCGTAAATTATATTTCAAACTATTTCCTTGTCATAGCTTAGTGCTACATAATGTTCCCCTTCACCTTCGGGATAGTGACCTAGAACGATCATAGGTAAATTTTCATTTACCTCGCCGTCGGGGAGACCATTTGGACTTATTAGTGTAGTCCTGCTGTTTAAAGTTGAAACTACTAAAATTTGTGCATTATAGATATTTGAAATTGCTTGTAATGTAATGTGATCACCATATTCCGCATTTTGTCCCATACGGAATAGATGTCGGGGATTCTGTAATTGATTCATGCCAAAAGGAGCTCCTCCTCAAGAAACTTATAAGGTCATTGCGCAATGTTGCTTCAGATCTAAAAACACCAATATTGTTTAACTGAAATGCTATGGCCAAAAACTGACAATTGCCATATCCCGGAGGATTATATTATTATAAGTTATATTAGTGTTCACTATTAATCAAACTGCGCTTTAGTCGTGACAATAACTCAAAACCTGATTAATACATTTTCGAAAAACGTAGAATAAATTAATTCTGTCGAAAGACTTCAGCAAATTGATGGTAGAAGCAAGAATATAATTTAAATATAGATGAATTATTATTGTACACAGACCACTTGCTCATAAGTCAACGTTTTATTCTGCAAATCATTTTCAAAAGTACATGTACAAATGATGTCTGTACCAAACTCATATTTATGATACTTTCAAATCAATACTTATCTTGAAATTCAATTGATATACATAATGAATTATGTAATTATTGTATATTTTATTGAACAGATCACCTATAACAGTGGTTTTACGGGTGATTTGCTACACAAACCTTCCTCGGGTAAGTCGAGGAAGACTTTCAAATATGAATACCAATTATACACTTGAGTTCACCTTGACCAAGGCGTCCTCAATTCGTCCTTAAGGAAGCCTTTTCCGAGTTTGAGTGGAGGTTGAGTTCGAGTGACGACACTGAATATAGCTATAAGTGTAGAGTGGCGCAATGCAGATGTTAACAAGATATGTTTGTAAAACATGTATGCCCCCCCCCCCTAAACACAGCCAATTTAATATTATAACATTAGATTTTTAAATGTGTATAAAAAATGCATAGTAAATTTGTTATGGAATACATGTACAGTAAAAACTCGCTAATGAGACCAATGACGGGACTTTACAAATCTGGTCTTAATAGCGGGTTGGTCTCATTAATGAGTTTGGCCAAACAGAAAACTAGGCAATATATTAAGGGATATCATGTACTGTACACATGTTTAATTCTGGGCTAACCTATTTCAAATGAGAAGATATAAAGCATACACTATTATTTTTTTATTTTCATTTATTTTCTTTTACTTTTTAACATTATAAAATTTTTAAACTTCTTTAGAGGTACAAAACGTATTATGAATGTCTTTAAACACAAACATATTTTTACATTATTGTTAAAAGAATGACACGACTTACTCTATTAAATCACCATTTTACTACAAAGCACACCGAACAATTAACCTTTAATTATTTTCACAGTTTTCATCGCCGATAACAACTTCAAAAACCTAATCGTTTTTGTTTAAAATTATGGAACGAAAGAGATAATGATAGCAGCAACACCTCTAAAAAACTTATTGAAAGTTTTCTGTTCAATACTTTGTTGTTTTAATCCCCCAGTTATGACATTAAAGGTGTGAAATTAAGAAATTATCGGCAATATTATTGATCATTTCCGGGTTTGATACAAAGTAACCTTGACCTCTGCCGTAAACTGGATGTCGTAATATGTCGTAAAACTAGGACAACTGTTGTTTACATCACGTGTCAAAAAGATTTCAGCAATATACACGCATGTCAATATCAAGGTGAGAAAGTGCCCGCGGTCGTATTTATGGGTTTCCAAACGTACAGAATTTACGAAATGGGACTGAATTTACTGGTCGCATTACGGAATAACGGGGTGGTCTCAAAATCGGGGTTAGCGACCATTAAAATAAAGAATAAAAAATTCGGGTCTTTAAAAAATCGTTCGTATTAGCGGGTTGGTCTCGAAAACGGGGTGGTCGTAAAGCGGGTTTTTACTGTATATAATTGCCATGGGGCAGAACCAATATGACCCATGGGTCCATGAATTGAGTAAACCCTGTAGTTGTCAATGAGACAATGTAACACACAAAATATCTTCTAAAAACACGCTTTTCATAGTGAGGTCACTGTGACCTTTACCTTTGACCTACTGACCCCAAAATCAATAGGGGTCATCTACTAGTCATGGCCAACATCCACACCAAATATGAGGACCATCAGCCAAAGCATTGTCTAGTTATTGAGCGGAAATGGCATGGTCTACGGACCGACTGACCGACCGACCGACATGGGCAAAGCAATATACCCCCACTAAGGGGGGCATAATAACTTATTTTATTTGACTATTTTATCGTTGGTACCGGTTGCCCATATGACCAACGTCCCCTTAAGATTGTTAGTATATTATTTTTCGGGGGATAGTGAATGATACAGAGTTCCAGAGGCGACCCTGGTTCTTTTAAGTGCCCGGTGTAAAGCACCAGTACAATGCACCTCGGTTTAACTTATTTTTTTGCCTTTGATAGTAAGGGAGAGAGACTGTATCCAACAATCAACTTACTAGTATTTTCAAATACATCTTTAAACTTTTTTAACAATCTCACAAGCATCCCGCTAGAGTCCCAGTGGTCGGTCGGGTGATACAGGAACGACCGGGGTACGTCCGTAACTCTGTCGGCAACGTCCGGGATGATCAAGGGCTCTGCCGGGGCTCTACCGGTGATTGTCGGCTCTCTATCTGACCGTACTGGGGCTCTGCCGGGATCATCCGGGACTCTGCCGACATCATCCGGGGCTGTGCTAGCATGGATCTCAGCTTTTATGATCTCTTTGATCGAAGACTTAACAGCGTTTGAATATCGTGTTAGGTCATCCGTCGTCCACTTACTATCTGCATTATCCGTAGTTTCAACTGGACTCTGCATGGATGGCCAGGAGTTCATCCTGGTTGTTATAAGTATGGAAATTGGGTATCACCGTAGTGCTACCGGGGTTATTGAGACTGAAACAATATTTTCATCCCGGATCGTCTGGGGTGGTCCTGGGCTTTGCCGGGATGCTGGTGAGAACGCTACTTAAATCGGTACTTTTAATCCCTATGGAAACCTTTATAACTGGCTGATGCATTACTGTTGATCATAGAAATAAGTGCAATTAACATATGAAACATATGAACATTTATCGTTAACCGATTTGTACATTTATGAGCACATAATTTGTTGCGACATTTTTCGTTATTTTTTGGACATTTATCGTTAAAGGAGTTTAGGACATTTATCGGCGACTGAGACATTTATCGTCAATTTTTGGACATTTATCGTCGGTTGGACATTTTTCGACGTTTGGACATAAAACAGCGCTCACCTTCTTACAAACCCACGAATAAGGGTTTGTAGAAAAGCATCAAGCATAAGAAATATTTCCACTCTGCATCAATAAAGGAATGTAACTGTAAATAGAAAAAGTGCATAGGACTTTAAAATATAACTCTATTTGCCCGAGATGACAAAAAAGAATATATTTTTTAAAGGTCTTAATATGTGATGGAAATTATAAACATAGCACCAACACTTTGAAAAAAGTAAATAAGGTTTTTGAGAAATCATATAAAATAATTTCGTTTACGGCAAATTCTTGTAAACATTGTTAGGCCTTGTAAAATGTAAATTGTATATGATAAAAGGATATCATGTTTCTACTAGTTAAACTTTATGTACTAAGTGTACTTGTGGCTAAAGAACGCGCATTTTATGCAACAAATTCAACTATCTCATGATATATTTAGTCCAAGGCCGTTGTTCGAGATTGCGAAGTTTACAGTAGATATATAGTGTCTGTGAAGACACGTTGATTCAGGAAATATGTCAAAAATCAGTGTGGAAGTGCCCGACGGAAAGACATATAAGTACATATATGAATCTGGATTACTTTATGAGTAAGTGGGTGATTTCATTTATATAATATATCATGAGTCAATGATCGCTTAAATAACCTTTTTCTTACATATGAGTTTTTTTAACAAAACGGTCAATTAAAATATTTGTGAGGTTTCCACCACATTAATTAATGATTGATCTGTATGTATGTTTAGTTTGCTTTAAAGTTTTTAACGCAATATAAAGTAAATTGTAGATCTGTGTTGTAAATGTCAACACAAATGTTGAATCGAGTAAATCCTGCAAACAAAATTGAACATATGGAATAAATATCATAATAGATAAATCAATATTGTATTTTTATACTGTGTATGTCTAGTAACGCCGGAATGTGAAGCTAACGCACGTTTCGTGCAAAATGTAACGCAGAATTGTGCAATAAATGACGGATACATGGCAGGATTTTCAACGCGATAAGTAAACTTACAATAATATTTTTTATTAAAAAAATTGAGAAAAAAGGAATAGCCGCATACGGCTGCCAAAAAACACTCAAAACGATGGTCAAGCCACCATTTACACCAGTGAGCAATTTCGAAATAATCTTGATGAGGTATAAAGTATAAAGTCTTCGCAGCCGTATGCTGCTATTCCTTTTTTTAGTTTGGTTAAATAAAGGTCGTATTGACCAGTTTACTAACCATGTTGGAAATCCTGCCAGGTTTCCGCCATTTATTGCACAATTCAGCTTTACTTTTGCACGAATCGTGCGTTTATTTCACATTCCGGCGTTACTGGATATGCTTATACTGTTTTGCAGGCAAATCTAGTTTTATCTTGCTTAATTTCAGTGAGTTGATTTTGAATTTAGTGCCTGACAAAGACCTTAAAACGCAAATTGAAAATATACTTAATCTTGATATTCGGGAAAATGATGTTTACCTGGCGACCTTTCCGAAAAGCGGTAATATTTTTTTTGGCTTTTTTTGCGTGAGTAAAATATGAACTTTTTTATGCTTTACAAAATATAAGGTCTTGTTGTGATAAAATAATGTTTTGTAAATAGGTTAAATGTATTCATTTATTTATTATAATGAATGTGTTCTTCAAGATTTCTGTTTTGAGTTTATCTGGAATATTTAGGTCAAGATAAAGAACGGATTTTTTTTGGTTTATTTATAGTTTTCGGAAGGAAACACCTGGATGTTAAAAACTTCATTCAGTAAATGTGGTTTAAGTTTTGCAAAATGATAGCATGACACAGTTATCTACGGAAGCGTCCTGGTGCCAATTCATAATGTTCTATAAAAAAATAAACTCCTACGTAGGAGATAAAAAAAGCCTAATTAGGAGTTTGTAACTCCTTCGTAGGACTTTTAAACTCCTACGTAGGACTTTATAACTCCTACGTAGGAGATAAAAAAGCCTAATTAGGAGTTTATAACTCCTACGTAGGACTTTATAACTCCTACGTAGGAGATAAAAAAGCTTAATTAGGAGTTTATAACTCCTACGTAGGACTTTTAAACTCCTACGTAGGACTTTATAAATCCTACGTAGGACTTTATAAGTCATACGTAAGACTTTATAACTCCTACGTAGGAGATAAAAAAGTCTAATTAGGAGTTTGTAACTCCTACGTAGGACTTTTAAACTCCTACGTAGGACTTTGTAAGTCTTACGTAGGAGATAAAAAAAAGCCTAATTAAGAGTTTATAACTCCTACGTAGGACTTTAAAACTCCTACGTTAAAGTCCTACGTAAGAGATAAAAAAAGGCGTAATTAGGAGTTTGTAACTCCTGCGTAGGACTTTTAAACTCCTACGTAGGACTTTATAAATCCTACGTAGGACTTAATAAGTCATACGTAAGACTTTATAACTTCTACGTAGGAGATAAAAAAGTCTAATTAGGAGTTTGTAACTCCTACGTAGGACTTGTAAACTCCTACGTAGGACTTTGTAGAATTTATTAGTCCTACGTAGGACTTTATAACTCCTACGTAGGACTTTATAACTCCTACGTAGGAGATAAAAAAAAGCCTAATTAGGAGTTTATAACTCCTACGTAGGACTTTTAAACTCCTACGTAGGACTTTATAACTCCTACGTAGGAGATAAAAAAAGCCTAATTAGGACTTTATAACTCCTACGTAGGACTTTGTAACTCCTACGTAGGACTTTAAAACTCCTACGTAGGACTTTATAACTCCTACGTAGAATACATATCAAAGAACTGAAAGCACAGAATTCGACGGACATGTATGCTAGAGTATAACTTAAGATAGCATATTATGTAGGAAAATAAGTTATATGAGCCGCGCCATGACAAAACCAACATAGTGCATTTGCGACCAGCATGGATCCAGACCAGCCTGATCAGGATCAATGCTGTTCGCTTACAAACCCTATTACAAGTAGAGAAACTGATAACGAATAGCATGGATCCTGCCCCCCCCCCCCCCCCCTATAAGGATTTAATCATTTGAAACGGCCGAAAATGGATAAATTGCTCGTTTTGTTCAGCTAGTTCGTATTGAAATCGTAATCATTAAAGCCTAAAATTTTAATATATGCTTGATGTCGAGTAAGTTTTTTTCGAATAGCTGTAAAGCAATTTTTCGGGATACATCGCCAATGTTTACAGACACCTCACCCTAAGACACTGTACACTCTAGAAACCTGAGACACTTTATTAAAAGGTGAAGTGTTGCGGCATGACCGTGTGACTAGTAGCCTAATGATCGCTAGCCGCATGGGTTCAAACCCCGTTAGGCGCAAGCCGTTGTTTCCTTGAGCAAGAAACTTTACACTCATTGCGAAGTACGTACTGGTTGGTTCCAGGAACGGATTCGAAAAGTGTGTCTATAAGCTTATAGCTTCCTACACAATCAAACTTAAATAAATTCTGTATGAACCAAAGGTGAAATGTCCTCTATATTTAAGATTTGACGGGGGGGGGGGGGGGGTAAGTGTCTTGTTCCTTCGCCGATATACCGGTCCGGAATGTTGAGATCTGCATTTTTTATAAAGTCATAAAGTCCTACATAGGAGTTATAAAGTCCTACGTAGGAGTTATAAACTCATAATTAGGCTTTTTTATCTCCTACGTAGGAGTTATAAAGTCCTACGGAGGAGTTAAAAAGTCCTACGTAGGAGTTTAAAAGTCCTATGTAGGAGTTAAAAAGTCCTACGTAGGAGTTTAAAAGTCCTACGTAGGAGTTATAAACTCCTAATTAGGCTTTTTTATCTCCTATGTAGGAGTTTTAAAGTCCTACGTAGGAGTTATAAAGTCCTAAGTAGGACTTTGTAAGTCCTACGCAGGAGTTATAAAGTCCTACGTAGGAGTTTAAAAGTCCTACGGAGGAGTTACAAACTCCTAATTAGGCTTTTTTATCTACTACGTAGGAGTTTATTTTTTTATAGAACATTATGAATTGGCACCAGGACGCTTCCGTAGTTATCATACAGAGGATATTAAATGAGTTTAGGTCTAATACTCAATTTATTGAACGTGTTAAATAAAATCATATTATGCGAGCCTCTGGCGAGCACAATATTGATTTATTCAACGAGTTTAATAAATTAAGTATTGAATCTACACGAAAATGATATTTTATTTATCACATAATTTAAATAAGAAAAGAGTCATTTTCCATTGACGTGCCTATAGAGTGACGCTATTAACAATTGCACGCTTTAACGCAATGTTTATATATAGCGCATATGACGTCATTACACTAGTGTAATATCGTTGTTATTAATTAAATGGCTTTATCAACACACCCGTTCCGATTTTGCGACTCCGTAAAAATGGTATTGCACGGCCGTGCATATATATTGACGTTACGCCATTAGCGTTATACAAACATAGTGTAAAGACGCGTTATACTATAGGCGCGTCAATGAAAAATGACTTATTTCACATTAAACGGTCTTTATTTTGGGTATGTGATAAATAGAATATTAGATTCGTGTAAGTTCATTACTGAATTTATTGCACTCGTTGATTCAACTCGTGCAATAAATTCAGTATTGCAATTACACTCATTCAATATCCTCTATTTATCACACTCATGCACCGCGGTTTATGCGATAAACTCTTATACTTCTAGGAACACACTGGGTATGGGAAATTTTGGGTATGTTGAAAAATGGGAGATCGACATACGATACGAAAACAAAACAATCAGCAACATTGGACTTTCAGTCACCAGAACTTATCGGAAATATTACATCACCAAGGATCCTGAACTGCCATTACCCGTGCAAACTAACACCGAAGGGAGTATTCAATAAAGGAGTGAAAATAGTTCATGTTATGCGAAACCCAAAAGATGTTATTGTATCTTGCTATTATCACATGAAGATAATGGCTGGTGAGCTCTTTCAATTAAGTTTCCAAGAGTTTCTTCCCTTGATGATTGGTGACTATGGCACATGTAGGTTTGATTTCTGTAACACTGTAAAGATCATAATTATGATTTACCAGCTTTATAAGTGGAAGAAGGCCTCATGAACCTCTTTGTGTATTATTTCAGGCACAACGGACACGTGAGTTCAACCACGGACATTGCGTTTATTAATCGAAAAGTTTCCGAGCATAAACAGATCCGAAGTCGTGAGCTTGATTCGAACCCACAGCGATGAGGGCCTAGTTGTTTGAAGGAATTGACCTTAGCCACTCGACCATGATCGCCTTATTATATCTTTTTGTCCCTTTTCAGTAGAAGTTCAAAAAAAAAAAAAAGAAAAAGAAAAAACGTTTATTGTTGTTTGTTTTTTTTCTTTCAATACGAAAATATATTTTGTTTTACTAATCATTAGAAATTTGACATACAAAAAATTTCATATTGTATTATACCGCTATTAACTCGCACATTTTACATTATATAGGACAATTTATACAAAACTCTAGCATAACTTATAGATAATGTGTCTTTATTCATTTCAGACTTTTTCTACCCATGGTTCAAATACGTAAAAGAATGGGAGAGATTTTTCAAAGAAACATCCAGATCAAATACTTAACATATACTATGAAGACTTAAAGGAGGTATATTAAAATAAATTTCTGTAAATTTACTAGGAAATCTGGTTTGATAGATTCATATAAATTGCAATTATAGAACTAAGTTAGTTCTTTAATTAAATATGCTATTTGGTGTTACACAGTGTGAAGAACAAAAACATTTTACAGTCACAAATGAAAAAGATAAAACACATATTCAATAGGTAAGTATTCAGTTTTTTTGTTTTGCCTGTAATCGCCATGACAAAATACCGCATAATAAAGTCTTAACCGAAACCGTGTAGTAACAAGCAAGGATTTCCGTTTCTTGGATTCAGTTCAAACTGTGCTACCATCAAACCATGGAGACCGATTTTCCTTTGATAAATGATTCCTTTATTTATATAAAAAATCAACAGATTGAAAGTAATATGTCTGTAAATTTTCCTTTTATAATGCATCCATGCTACTTAAATACAACTTATACATAATATTTCTAATCTGATTTTAATAGGATTCCGTCCGGGAAATAAAGAAAATGGACACATTTCTTGGAACGGGACAAACTGATGATGTTATCAAAGAGATAGCTGAAGCATGTAGATTTAAAAACATGAAAAAAGCTGATGCAGAAGTGAAGTTGCCCGAGGAGTTCATGATTACAGCAGGAAGACCATGTTTGTATAGATTAGGTATCTATCATTGCTGTTTAGACAAACTACATCAAAATTTGTTTCTTTATTTTTTTCATAATGCTTTTTGGTCGTCATTGGTTGCTTTTTTTTATAATAAAATCATTTTATTAGTTGATATATTAAAATTTGATAATAAACAATCATTTTTTTTCTTTTTTTGGTTTTCTTTAAATACAATTGTATCCAAGTTACATGTAAGTTAAAGAACCTGTAACACAATTTTTCTATAGTTTTAAATCATAAATATGATGCTCTTATTAAGATTTATCAAAATTGTAGGTTCCAAAAAGCATTATTTATAAAAATATTCCCGAATTTAACATTTCATGTAAATAAAGGGAGGTAATAAAAGTTTTATTTTCTGTAAAGTTTAAGTCAAATTATACAATAAGAAAAGAATGCATAAATTTTAATGATTACATATAATATGCACAAATATTTGCAGTACATATTTTACATATTCTTCGATGTTTGAAAATTGTTTTCTTTGCATAATTATGTACATATATATAATTTCACTTAGTGTGATTTACCACCTTGATTTTAAGTACTATTTCTTCCAGTGGTAATACAGTACTCTTAAAATTATATTGCTGTGTCGCTTATTACTGTGATTTTTTCGTGTTTTTTTTTCTTGACCCTAAACATGCAATATTCTTTAATTAAAATATTCCCGTCTGCTGTAGGTGTAAAATCAAGTATACTAAGTGAGAGCTTCCAGAAAAGCTTAATGCACGATGGCTTGGAGATTCACGTTTATCATCGGAAAGAGTTGAAAGCAGCACAAGATCATTTTTGGTTAGTTTTGTTCATTCTGACAGAAAACATTTCAAAAATGGTTAAATCGTCATTCAAACATTTTTTTCAGGTGAAGTAGGTGACTGGAAAAATCACTTCACCCTTGAACAAAATGAGCAAGTGGATGAATGGATTGAGGAAAATTTGGTTGAAACAGAACTTTCGTTTAAATACACACTTTGAATACAAACAAGAAATATACATAAATATGTAAGAGATGTACATAAAACAACGAGACTTTAACTTTTAAAAACACTGTGTATTTTTCATACGCGCCTTACAAGGACACAGATATCGATACAAAAAGAGAAATAAAATATAGGAATTATTGGAAATGTAAAATTCCTCTTTAAGAAATAACTAATCTAAAAGCTATACAGTAAACACAGCTAAGATTAACAATTCGTTTTTTACTTGAAATCAAGAAAGGCATTGACTTATCTATACATCATATAAATGTATATAAATATATAGAGACCAATGTAACAACATTACCAGTGCATGGGGGGGGGGGGGGGGGGGCAAAAATAATGAATTCTATACTTGATTATTTAGGACATAATGATATAAGATTGTTTTATGATACTAATTAGTTAAAATTGTTTTCATATAAGGGAGTAATTTATACAAGATTTGCAGAACGAGTTTTGGCACTGCCAAAATTGGAAAGCAATTTTTGAACCAATATGAGAAAAATAGAAATACGATTTAGCTCTCACGGTTTTAGCTCGACATTTTTTTTACTTATATATATGCGTATAAAATTATGTAAAATATAGGATATCGAAAGGATTCATACTTTGACAAAACTAATTTGACAAGACAGACCGGTTAAATTTATAAAAAGGAAACGTTAAGATTTGTTCAAACATTTCTTGGTTTGCTTTTAGAAAAAGTAAACCCCGCCCGGCGATACATGTACTACGACCTTTGAAGGTAACTAGGGTTTGACTTGATTATAACTTGCCTTAGTAGTCAGTCTATTTTTAGAACAAACATGGAATAAAAAGAAAATGTTAACAGTGCATAAATTGGATGCAAATTCTTCTATTTCTTTGAAAATTGTAAAATTACAATTGTACGTACTGAATTTATATCAAAACTTAAATAGAAGAAATTGTAGAGATTTCAGTAATATTATAATAAAAATAGGCAAAGAATCAGTATAATTAATGTACTTGATTTAATTCAAGTGTATGTAAATGATAAACGAATAGCTGTAACGTTTTATTTTGTGTGGTCGTATAAAGTCTTTTGAAAATGTGTATATCTCATACTTACCTGGTACAAGGAACACCGTGATCTGCAAGGCGGTTTCCCCAGAAAGAGGCCTTTCCATTGCACTTCGGTTGGGCTGACGTCTGCGATAGCCCCAAATGTGGGTTACTCGGGTACGCAATTTATTGATGTGGGGACTGCGTTCGCGCTATCCCTGAATAATTCACTTATCATAACATAAAAAACTGACGTGATCGTGTAGACCAAACTTATTGTAGCAAGTGTTGTTTCCTGTTGAATTTGTAAAATTCTTTTTTATTTGCCTTAAACAATATTTTATGTAATAGAAAGAGCACCGAAACACGAGGCTATCTGATTTGTACGAGGGGGCGTAGCCCCCCGAGTATAAATCAGATTGCCGAGTGTTTTGGTGTTCTTTCTCTTTTGTATCATAGTCATACATAAAAACACGTTCCCTGCTGTCACAATATGAAACCCCGGGAAAAAGGAACCAATGAACGAGCATCTGAATATGATATTTCTGTCGCTTTCCCTTTCTCTTCCGTCACAATATGTAAACCCCAGCAAAAATGAGCCAATCAATGGGCATGCTCTGGAGTGCGGGTAACTAATACCTGCACTCCAGTTAACGCACTGTGCATGTATATGTATACGATTTAACTCTGACACATTTTTAACTGAAAGGTCCCCAAACTATGATACAAGAAGTTTGTTATTATTAAAGTAAAAAAAAAAATCTGTATATTTTTTTAATTACCATTTTTCATTTTTTTTTTTTTTGGCTATTATTGGTTGTAACTTAGTTACTTTTGAATGGATTGTCTTCAAAATTGAACATAATAATATTCAAGGATAGCCCTTTAAAATAACCAGACAGATATTGACCTTCACGTATTAATGACCTTGAATTTGAAGGTCAAATTATTGAAATGTTCATTTTTTGGCTGTAAATTTGCTATTCTTGAATGGATCGAATTCATATTATAACAGAACATTATTAAGGACAAGACCTTCATGTTTATAAAACTTAAATTGACTTTGGCTCTTAAATGAGCTTGACCTTGAATGTTAAATTACTGAATGTTCACTGATTTGTGCATTAAGTGACCATATATATTTATTGGTGTGTATGTATACCTCAATTGTGCATATACATGTATATAAATGCGTATATATATATATATATATATATATATATATATTATATATATATAAATGCGTAAAAAATACGGTGGCTCTTGTTGATATATATAAAACTTAATTGAATATGAATATCACGTTGCTTTATGTAATCAAATAGACAGAGATCTAAGATAAAAAATCTTGACAAATGCTCATTGCCAAGTGCACAAAAAATAATAAATAAAAGTCTTCTAAGAATAGCAAAACAATATTAAATCTGGTAAAGTTCGTTACTACAATTTATCTGTACATACAATTTCTCTTGAAATATAAGTATCTAATGATCGTAAGTATTATTATAGTGCATAAATGTGTTAGTTTGTACTTAAATTGCATGTATTATCTTTGTCATAATGACATATTGTAAAAGGTCAAAGGCAGATAAACATTGATTTTGAACTTAAAATGTTTTATCGTATGCATGTCTTGTCTGTAGTATATACACAAATTATTTAACAAATGATTTTCCAAAATAAATTTCATATGAATGCCTATATACATGTATATATTATAAAACATTTGTCCTCTCTCGAAAATTCAACTGCAATAAATTCACAAGAAATAGAGAATATATCGTACCTTTAGATAAACAAGCTTTATATTCTCAACCTAAATATTTAAGATCCTGTATGTTTGTTTAAACCACACTTGCAAAAAAAGTTATATATGTATATAATTATGCAAATAAATCAATTTTCAAACATCGAAGAATATGTAAAATGTGTACTACAAATATTTGTGCACATTAAAATTAATCAATAAATTATATGCATTCATTTCTTATTGGAAAATTTGACTTAGAATTTATAGAAAATAAACTTCTTATTACCTCCCTTTATTTACATGAAAGTTTAAATTTGGTAATATCTTTATAGATAATGCTTATTGGAACTTACAATATTGACAAATCTTAATTTGAGCATCATATTTACGAAATAAAACCATGAAAAAAATGTTTTACAGGATCTTTAAGAGAAAATAATCGGGTGGTTTAGATTTAGACTATCGAAATACGAGTTTTTTCATCAAAGGGAAATGAGAATGGTAAGGCATATTTTAATGAGTTACCTTTCTTATGCTTAACTAGGCGTGTGTCGCAATTCACACGTGACTTGCTTTTCACATTCATTTGAATAACATCTCATAAGAGACATAACAATTATTAGACGATCTTGTTTGTTAGCTGCATGCTTCCTGATGAGCAAAACTGTTTAAAAAATCAACCTTGAGAGAAATGTTCTAAGAATTTAACGAATTTAAAAATATTCACAATTCAAGAAATAAATTACATGCTTTATGCAATTAATGACTGATTTTGCAGTATTTATCACCATATTTCTACTGTGTGATAAACACAGTAAGGGCTATTTTTGCATATTAAAAATCCTGTATATTGTAACGAAGGATGTAACAACACAAGTGAAATTTTATATAATTATGTATAATTATTCTTCTGAAACAATTTCCAAGCATCCAAGAAAATGTTTCATATATTCTGCAAATGTTTATACGCATTACAAGTCATCATTTACATCTATGCATTTATATCGTAATGAAAATGTGGCTAAGACTTTATCAAAAATAGATTTCCAATTACATCCCTTTATTAAGATGAAATGTAAATTCGGTAATATCTTCTTTGAACTTATACAATATTGATAAATCTTTATTTGAGCATCAGTTTTATGATAAAAAAAAAAGAGTAACAGGATCTTTAAGACCTGTTTGTTTTGATTAATTT